TCTAAAGCTGTTCCTTCCAGGTTTCATAATCCTGCTGTTCACCCACACAGGGCCACAAGTCCTACCAGGGAAAACCTGCTCCAGCGTGGTCTCCTGTCTCCGTGTGCTGCAGGTCCCGGGCAGGACCCTGCTCCATCTTGGGCCTCCCACGGGGTCACAGCCTCCTTCGCATATCCACCTGCTCTGGCATGGGCTCCACCATGGGCTACAGGTGGATCTCTGCACCCCAATGGTCATCCATGGGCTGCAGGGAGACAACCTGCTTCACCACGGTCTTCACCACGGGCTGCAGGGGTCTCAGCTCCGGCGCCAGGAGTACCTCCTCCCTGTTCTTCTGCACCGACCTTGCTGTCTATGTTGTTTTTCATATGTTCTCGCTCCACTCTTCTCTTGCTGGATTTTTCATCTGCACAATAGATTTCTGTTCTTAACTATGTTATCACGGAGGCATTACTATCACTCTTGATTGGTTCGGCCTTGGCTAGCGGCAGGAAGCCCATCCTGGAGCCAGCTGGCATTGGCTCCATGAGAGAGGGGAAGCTTCTAGCAGTTTCTAACAGAAGCCACCCCTGTAGCCCCTCCGCTACCAAAACCCAGCCACAGAAACCCACTACAGGGTCCCTTCCAATCCAAACCATTCTATGATTCTATGAATTTTCTAGAGTGGCATTTCTGGCCCATGGGATCACATGCCATGTGTATTCCTGAAGACATTCATTCTGAAAAATCCGGTATAAAGAACTGCTCAGAGTCTGTTGGATCTTTGAGCAGCAAAGGTATTTATTGACAGCGCCGGGAGCAAGCGTGGTTCGCACCACAAAGAACTTGCTCAAAGGTTTCACACAAAATCAGTAGTTTTTATACAATTTTCATATATGATTAAACGCATATTCATGTGATTACAACATCTATCTATACATATTAATAACAGGCGGAGTATAGGTGGAGCTCAGGCGGGGCTTGGGGTGGTGCTTCTCTTGGCCCTCAATCTTGGTGGGAGATCCGCTCTTCCTCCCGTGAGTCTGGGGTCATAATCTCATCTTCCTCAGCTTGACCTTCCTTCTTTTCCATTGTTCTCGACCCGCTCGCTGAAGCTTGGAGAAAGCCTTGGCTCCAGGCCTGTTTCTCCTATTCAAATGTCTATCTTACTGCATCCTAATTTATTACTTCTAGGCCTATTGTATGTTTCTTTTACCATTCTTTTAAGTTTTGGTCCAGAAGGTAGAACAGAAGAGCACAGATCGTTTAGATGTTGGTAGCTTCTTAGCAGGCCCAGATTTTCTCAGTTAACTCTTTTGGGTCTGGCTTCTTGTTTCAACATGAGCCAGCATAGTAGTTGCTGTGGCCAGTGTGTGCTGCCCTGTGTAACCTGAGGGCTGTCACACAGTGGAACGTATAACTAGCTCTGGGAAAGCACTGGTTTAAACCATGCTGGTTGAATTTAATGTCTTCTTTTTCCTCTCTGCACTTGCAGGTCAGAAGATTCTTCACCACAGAAGTGATGCCTTAGAAACTGTAGTCCTTATCAATCCCTCAGATGAAGCAGTTAGTACTGAGGTAAGTCAGTCAGAAATACTTTACTAGATGTGTCATAAAAGCTCCATTAAGTGGACAGGTTGAGTGAAGCTCCTAACTGTGGACAAAAGGACATGCTAGAAACAAATATCAAAAACATCCAAAGAACGCCTTGATTTTTTCCTGGTTTCCTGGTGTCATGGGTGGGAGTGGAAGGCTTAGACAAAATGTATTAAAAAGCTGAATCCAGTCTTAGCCACGGATTATGTCACCGGTTTAAGTTTAAGGAATTACAGAAGTGTGATTTAACCACTTTTGTCCCACAGGTTTTAATGATTGGTAAAATGAGAATATTTATATAAAATGAGTCAATTATTATTACAAATGATCAGACAAAAGATCTTAATCAGAATTATTTACTACACAATATAAATGCTAAAACTACTAGTAGTATAGTATAAGATAGGACAGTGCACTATATTGAAGAAATTATTGAAGCAATTATATTAAAGCTAGCAAAAAGGAAATAATTTTTAAGTAGAGATTTGATGTAACTCACCCATACCAACGCTCGTGGGGAGATCTCTTTCTCTCAACCTCGAGGATTATCCTTGGAGGGCGTCCCCATCCAAGGGAGGAATCTCCACACATATACCCCAAGAAGGGTTATGTTAGAAGAACCCGGCTGTATGAAAGGGGACTGGACTTTTATAGTATAAAGTGATTGACTGCTAGTCATACATTTACAGACCAGCTACCAGCTTATCTGATTTGAAGTCTGGTGAACCAGGATGGTTTTAGCATAATGAACACCAAGACAGCACCCTGGCACCAGCAGTTGAACTGGCATGATAGCTTGCCTGATGGCTTGCATTGTATGCATTCTCTGATTGGATTTTAGATCTTATCAGGTGGGGGCTATCCTGCCACACCCAGACTCCTGATAAAGTTTCAAAGACACAGGACAGAAACACATCACTTAGCCAGCACTCATTTCCTCATAATACACCAAGTTCCCTTCTTGATGAAGTGAAGGCAGCTGTGGTATAACTGTATCTAGTTTTCTTCTGTTCCTCCATTGTTTGGTAGCTCTGGTTGCCTTTTTTACATATGAAAAAATGCCTGAAAAGAAACCAGATGCCATGAGATAAATTTAGGTCCTCCAGAAGAATGATCATCTATGTGGTGGTGACTCTAGGTTGATCTATGTGATCTGTCCTTCAAAAACCACATGACATGATCAGTGGACTCTGAAGAGTACCCTAGAAGAGGACTGTCAATTCCTCATAAACTTGCTAGAGTAGAGCCAAAGAACTGAGCATGTAGCTCAAAGAAAAAATTGACAAATTTAGCTAACGATACTGAAGGTTGTAAGAATTAATTACATTGCTAGCCAGTGCTGGGAAGCACTGGCATGGTACAATTTATTTTGGGAAATGAAGTGACTCTGCTTGTGGTACTTTGTGAAAAATCTATTTGTTTACCAGCCTTAAGTGATATTAAACACAAACAGGAAGAAACTCTCATGGTTTGACCTCAGTCAGCAACTAAGTGCCATGCAGCCACTCACTTCCTCCATGCCAGAGAAAAAGAGAATCCTAAAAAAAAAAAGTAAACCTCGTGGGTAGAACTAAGAACAGTTTAATAATTGAAACAAAATAAAATGTAATCAAATATAACAATGATAATAATAATAATAACAACAATAATAATAGTAATGAAAAGGAGAGAGAGAAATTAATAGAACCCAAGAGAAACAAGTGATGCACAATAGCTCACCACCTTCTGACCAATACCCAGTTAGTCCCCTCCCATCCAACTCCCCCTAGTTTATATACTGAGCATGACATTCTATGATATGGAATATCCCTTTGGCCAGTTCAGGTCAGCTGCCCTAAACCGCAATCTTTATTCCTACACCTCTCAAGTGGATGGACTACAAGATGGGGACTGGAAGAGCAAAGTCCCTCCCGCTGTAAGAGAACATTAGGTTTGTGGCGGCTGGAGGAACTTGAACATATATAAGTCTATGGGACCCAACTATATGCATCCCAGAATCCTGAGGGAATTGGCTGATGTAGTTGCCAAGCCACTCTCCATAGAGTGACTACATCAGTGGACAAGGGAATTTCTACAGATGTCATTTATCTGGACTTCTGTAAGGCTTTTGACACAGTCCTTCATAACATCCTTCTCTAAATTGGAGATATGGATTTGATGGGTGGACTGTTCAGTGGATGAGGAATTGGTTGAATGGTCACATCCAGAGGGTAGTGGTCAATGGCTCAATGGCCCGATGGACATCAGTGACAAGTGGTTTTCTCCAGGGATCTGTATTGGGACCAGTGCTATTTAATATTTTCATCAGTGACATAGGCAGTGGGGTTGAATGCACCCTCAGCAAGTTTACATATGACACCAAGCTGAGTGGTGCAGTTGACATACCTGAAGCATGGGATGTCAGCTAGGAGGACCCAGACAAACCCAAGAAGTGGGCCCATGCAAACCTCACAAAGTTCAACAAGGCCAAGAGAAAGGTCTTGCACCTGGGCGAGGGCAATCCCAAGCACAAATACAGGCTGGGTGGAGAATGGATTGAGATCAGCCCTGAGGAGAAAGACTTGGGGGGGGTTGGTGGATGAGAAGCTTGACATGACCCAGAAATGTGTACTTGCAGCCAAGAAAACCAAACATATCCTGGACTGCATCAAAAGAAGCAACCAGCAGGTCAAGGGAGGTGCCTTCTACTCTGCTCTCAGGAGACCCCACCTAGAGTACTGCATTCAGCTCTGGGGTCCTCAGCACAGTAAGGACATTGACCTGTTGAAGCAAGCCCAGAGGAGGGTCACAAAGATTATCAGAGGACTAGAGCACCTCTCCAATGAAGACAGGCTGAGAGAATTAGGACTGTTCAACCTGGACAAGGGAAGGCTCTGGGAAGACCTTATAGCAGTCTATAAGGGGGCCTACAAGAAAGCTGGAGAGGGACTTTTTAGAAGAGCATGAAGTCATAGGACACTACATATGATATGTCATAAAGAGGCTTGGTGAGCACATGGCAGCCAACTAAGGTCGACCCATCACATTTGCAAAAAGTTAACAGTACAGAATCTTACAAAGGCTTTATTTTGTTTTTTTCTTCAATTTAAGTTGGATTCAGACAACAGAAGTATACTGAATATATGGATTTTTCTTAGCATCCAAGTAAATCTCTCCCTGGAGGGAAGTAGTAATTATTACTAGCTACAGTGAGGATAAAATAAAATAACAAGGATCTAGTTTAAAATAGTTAACAGTTATTTCAAAATGCAGTTTATTTCTCTGTTGCAAGCTCCTTTGAACCATCAGGGATCAACATAATTTATTACTATGTTTTGAAAAAGGTCTTGGGCTGGCACATGTAAAACAGTTAGTGTCCATAGTTAGTGATATCATGAGATGTAAATAGTACATGTAACTATATGAGTACTTGATTATGATTATGGTGAAACAGAAACATCCTTTAACTTTGTAGATAGTTGAACAGAATGATGGTCTAAATATACCACTTGTATGTGTGATTTGTGGCTGTGTGGTGGATTGACCTTGGCTGGACACCAGGTGCCCACCCAGCCACTCTATCACTCCCCTTCCCAGCAGGACAGGTGTAAGTAACAGGACAGGGAGTAAGGTGGAAAAAAAACAACTCGTGGGTTGGGATAAGGCAGTTTATTTAAAGCAAAAAGTAAAGCGAAGCTTGAGCGCACAGAAGCGAAAGATAGCGGGGTTTATTCTCTACTTCCCATGAGCAGTGATGGTCAACCACTCCCGAGAAGCAGGGCTTTAGTACAGGTGACGGTTTCTCAGCAGGCAGCCATTGGAGACAATGAATACCTGACCTCCTGCTCCTTGCCTCAGCTTTTTATATCTGAGCTGACATCATATGGTATGGAATATCCCTTTGGTCAGTTTGGGCCAGTTGGCCTACTTGGGTCCCCTCCCAGGATCTTGCCCTCAACTAAGGAAGGAATGCTACAGTGTTGGTGCTGTGCTCAGCAGTAGCCAAAACACCGGTGTGTTATCAACACCCTTCTAGCTGCCAATGCAAAGCACAGCACTGTGAGGGCTACTGTGGGGAAATGAACTCCAGCTCAGCCAGGTTGTTACTTTTTAGTGACATTTTTGCAACTGAATGAGAAGTAATGCTGTACACTGGGAAAAGAAAATTTGCCTTCTAAAAGCAGTCTGACACATTAGCATGTGGGACACAGCTGACCAAGGCTGTCCTGATACACTGCTATTAAAATTCAACCAGAGTTATAGAAGGAATGTATTTTGCATTCAATTCTTGTTCTCTTCTTCTCCTTACTTTATTTTCCCCCATGTTATTAGTTTTATTTCTTTGTTAAACTTTTTCTTTAATTGCTTGTCATGGTTTAACCCCAACTGGCGACTAAGTACCACACAGCCACTTGCACACTTCCCCCCACTCAAGGGTTCAGATAAGAACAGTTTAATAATTGAAACAAATGAAATATAATAATATAATATTTTACTAGCAAAATAAGAGAGAGACTTCCAGCCTTCCTGGACTCCTTTGCCTTTCAGGACTGCCTCCTAAGGGACTGTCTCAACCAGTCTTCTTAACAGGCCAAAGCCTGCCCTCTGGAAGTCCCAGGTGGCAGTTCTGCTGGCGCCCCTCATTACTTCTCTGAGAATTGAAAACTTGCGGTAGTTTGAAAAAAAGTTTTCCCCTGGAGTTGGAAGGTGGTTGACCCCAGGGGGTGGTGTTCTTGGTGTAGAGTCAATCAGAAGCTGCAATTCGCCCCTGTGAAATTAACATATTATAACAGACCGGAAGAGGAGAAGACCTGGTACGTAGCTGGAAAGAGAGGCAGCCATGGCTTGAGACACCATGTGTTAGAGTGGACTGGGGGGGGCCTTACCCCCTCCGGTCCTGGCCGGGGGGCCAGGAGCAGCACAACAATTGAGTGGAGGTCCCCCTCCGAAGTTGGTGATCGAGGGGAACCCCAAAAGAATAGGGGAGACCCCTGGATTGCATTTTCTTTCCCCCCACTCAGTGGGGGGAGAAAAAGTGGCAGCAGAGGCAGCGTTGAGTGGAGAGCTGTGGCTGAGAGCCAGGAAGATAGCCGGCAAGCAGCAATATGGCATAGAGCCATGCTGAAAGACACAGAGATGTCCTGCAAACAGGGAGAGCCGGCAACAGAGCAGAGAAAACTCAGTAGAGACTGTTTTGGGGTAAGACTGAATTACTTTCCCAAAACCCTGAGACCTCCTGGAGAGGAGGGGTGGGCTTCCAAACTTTTAGGGAGTCCCGAAATGCAGCAGCAGCTAGGGAGAGAGAGAGGAGCTGAGAACTTGGAGATGTCCTGTGAGTTGGATCAGGACAGTCAGACCAAGGAATGCGGGGAAAGTGCAGCAGAGACGGAGCAAAGGAGCTCTATTAGAACGCCTCGGGCAAAAACTGAACAGAGAGCCCCTAAACATTCTCACTTGGGGGAACTTGACCCCCCAAGGAAGGGACTTTCATGGGATGCTTTGCACCCCGTGATATGACCATGGTAAGGCGAGTTTTGTCCCTGCTTTGCAGCTCATGGGAGAAACCTTCGGTTGGAGCCGAAAGGCGGAGAGGGGTGAGAGAAAAAAACCCTGCGTTGTAACGAAGAGAGAGAGAGATATTTTCCAGCTATGACAAAATCAAAACTTCTGCCTTGAAGATAAAGGAGAAACTGTGCTGCCCTGAAAGTAGAAAAGACTTTTTCTTCTTTACTTCTGGACATTTATTGGAGGGAAAGGAGGGATTTGATCTATGCAAATATATTGCTTTACTATAAGGGAGATAGTTAGGATTGCTGTATATACATGTATTATAATATTTATTGTATTAGTAATAAACTTTGATATAATTTCCCCATGTTAGTAGTTGTGTTATGTCTGAAAACCTCTCTCACACTGAGGCAAATTGTGGGGAGTTTGGAAACTGGATTTTGGGGAGTTCAAACCACGACTTCCTGACTACTCAGGAAGAGTTTAGGAATATAGTTAGGTCATGTAGAAAGAAAATTAGAGAGACGAAGGCACAACTTGAACTGAATCTTGCCACTTCTGTGAAGGATAACAAAAAGTCCTTCTACAGATACATCAATAGCAAAAGGAGGGGCAAGGAAAACCTCCATTCTTTACTGGACATGGGCAGGAATATAGTTACCAAAGATGAGGAAAAGGCTGAGGTATTTAACACCTTCTTTACCTCAGTTTTCAACAGTAAGACAGGTTGTCCTGAGGACAGCTGGCTTCTGGAGCTTGTAGAAAGAGATAAGAATCTGAACAGCCCCCCTGTAATCCAGGAGGAAACAGTTAGTGACCTGCTTGGATCCTCACAAGTCTATGGGACCAGATGGGATCCACCCAAGGGCGATGAGGGAGCTGGCGGAAGAGCTCGCCAAGCCTCTCTCCATCATCTACCAACAGTCCTGGCTCACTGGGGAGGTCCCAGGTGATTGGAAGTTGGCAAATGTCACGCCAATCCACAAAAAGGGCCAGAAGGGGGACCCAGGAAACTACAGGCCCGTCAGTCTGACCTCAGTGCCTGGCAAGGTTATGGAGCAGATCATCCTAAGTGCAATCACACAGCACCTACAGGATGGACAAGGGATCAGACCCAGTCAGCACGGGTTTAGGAAGGGCAGGTCCTGTCTGACCAACCTGATCTCCTTTTATGATCAGGTGACCCACCTGGTGGATGAGGGGAAGGCTGTGGTTGTGGTCTACCTGGACTTCAGCAAAGCCTTTGACACCATCTCCCACAGCATTCTCCTGAAAAAGCTGGCAGCCCACGGCTTGGACAGGGGCACTCTCTGCTGGGTTAGGAACTGGCTGGAGGGTCGGGCCCAGAGAGTGGTGGTCAACAGTGCTGCATCCAGTTGGCAGTCGGTCACTAGTGGTGTCCCCCAGGGATCAGTGTTGGGCCCAGTTCTATTTAATATCTTTATTGATGATTTAGATGAGGGGATTGAGTCCACCATCAACAAATTTGCAGATGACACTAAGCTTGGGGGGGAGTGTCAATCAGCTGGAAGGCAGGAGGGCTCTGCAGAGGGACCTGGACAGACTGGAGAGTTGTGCTGATTCCAACGGGATGAGGTCCAACAAGGCCAAGGCTGGGGACATAGTGACTGGAGAGCAGCCAGGCAGAGAGGGACCTGGGAGTTTGGATTGACAGGAAGCTGAACATGAGCCAACAGTGTGCCCAGGTGGCCAAGAAGGCCAATGGCATCCTGGCCTGTATCACGAACAGCGTGGCCAGCAGGTCCAGGGAAGTGATTCTTCTGCTGTACTTAGTGCTGGTGAGGCCACACCTGGAGTACTGTGTCCAGTTCTGGGCCCCTCAGTTCAGGAAGGATATTGAGCTGCTGGAGCAGGTCCAGAGAAGAGCAACAAGGCTGGTGAAGGGACTCGAGCACAAGTCCTATGAGGAGAGGCTGAGGGAGCTGGGGCTGTTCAGCCTGGAGAAGAGGAGGCTCAGGAGAGACCTCATCACTCTCTACAACTCCCTGAAAGGAGGTTGTAGCCAGGTGGGGGTTGGTCTCTTCTCCCAGGCAACTATCAGCAAGACAAGAGGGAATGGTCTTAAGCTGTGCCAGGGGAGGTTTAGGTTAGATATTAGAAAGAATTTCTTTACAGAGAGGGTAATCAGACACTGGAATGGGTTGCCCAGGGAGGTGGTGGATTCACTGTCCCTGGAGGTTTTTAAGATAAGACTGGATGTGACACTTAGTGCCATTGTCTAGCAACCGCAGCGGTAGTGGATCAAGGTTTGGACTTGATCATCTCAGAGGTCCTTTCCAACCCAGCTGATTCTATGATTCTATGATTCTATCATTTCATCATTGCTATGCCCAAGACAACCTCCAACCATCACATCACCCACCAGTCCTGTGTTCACAAACAGCACATGCAGGGAGGCACCTTCCCTAGCTGGTTCCCTCACCAGCTGTGTCCGGAAGTTTTCTTACACACACTCCAGGAATCTCCTAGGCTGTTTTCTCTCTGCTGTATTTCCAGCAGACATCTGGTAAGTTGAAGACCCCCAGGAGAACAAGAGCTAGCAATCACGAGACTTGTCCCAACTGCATTTCATCTGCCTTTTCATCCTGATTGGGTGGTCTATAACAAAGTCCCATCAGGATATCTGCCTTGTTGGCCTTCCCCCTGATTCTTAACCATAAACACTCAACTCAGTCGTCGCCATCATCAACCTCCAGACAATAAAAACACTCCATAACTTGAAATGTTTTGACAGCCCTATGGAGACTGGTGCAAAATATGTTTTAATTTAGATGAGGTAAACCTTATATTCTCAGAGGAATGTACAAACGTTGTAACTCCCATTACTGATGTGTTTTTCTCCTTCACTTTAGGTGCGCTTAATGATCACAGATGCTGCAAGACACAAGCTCCTTGTACTCACTGGACAGTGCTTTGAAAACACAGGAGAACTCATTCTCCAGTCAGGGACTTTCTCCTTCCATAGTTTCATTGAGATCTTCACGGATCAAGAGGTGTGTTCAGAAAAGTGTTTTCCATATATTGTCATGTGATGGCACAAGTTTTTAAAAGATTAAAAATGGCCCTCTGTGTTGTTAGAATTGGCATTGGCTAACTAATACTGATGCTTTTTACTCTTCATTATAGGCTTTCTTTCAAGAAATTTAATTTACTTTAGTTTTGATGTACATTTCTTCACAAAGGAATTACATTTTCATTTGAGGAATTAAATTGTAGCTTCAAGAAACAGAAAACCAAGGACCATTTCGACAATGGAAGGAGATAGTGTTGTATTTAAAATACACAGCTGGTTTATCTAAGGTGTACATACAAAGCAGTCAAATTTGACAGCTGCTGGCAGCTAAGTAATAAGTGACATTAAATAAAACAGAGGCTATCTGTTGGAATGGCTGTAGTTTTTTTCACCACCTGCCTGTTTGGTTTCTTTACTGTAGTGTTTAAAATTTTTATAGTGAAATCTGCAAATTTTGTGGGATTTAGGGACCAAAAATATAAGAATGAAGCATATCAATGCTGTTTCTTTCATGACTTGTTATTTTGCTGTCTTGCTTAATGTACTGTGTCTGAAAGTTCTCATAGGGCAAGAACCCATAGTAAACAAGCTGTCACACTTAATTTGGCTGCTATGTAAAGTATATATTTAAATAAACTATATGGCTGCATTTCTAGGTATTTAGTTCCCTGTTATTGTTGTGGCGGTCAAAAGTAAAGAAGAACACGAACAGTCTAGTACCGAGTAAAGTACCAGTCTCTTTATTATTTCCCACAAGTCTTTTTATATCCCATGTTAGCAAGCATGAGAAGGCAGGCAGGTGATTGTATTTTTTAATTAGCTATTATTTGTTAGTAATACTGTTGGCAAAGCTCAAGGCCAAAGCTGGAGTTCTCAGAAGACCAAACCTAAGCACTCCACAGCTGTCTTCTTTCAGCAAGGGCTGCGTACATACCTCTCCTATCTCAAGGATACACCCGTAACTTTCCCAGGTCAAAATCTTCTTCCAAAGAGCTAACAGACCCGCTGTCAGCCCTGACAATTCCCTCTCTTTGTAGTTGCGTGAGAAAGACTGCCTTTGCCATGTTCTGGAGGGCCCTTTCTAGACACGACACAAAACATGGCAATATTGCAAGCACAACTACAACTATTACCAAAACTAAGACCCCCGTCTTGAGTAGGGACATTAAGCAACCCTAAAGACCCCAACCAGACAACTATCTTTCTAAGCCAGAGAATCCAGTTTCTTGCTTGATCTTTTCTGTTTGTTCTTGTAGAGCAGCAATTTCTTTGTAAATGGATGCAGAATGATTTGAGATATTTAAGCAACACATGCCTTCAAATTCTTGACATCCATGTCCATGTGCTAGCAGTAAAAAGTCAATTGCAGCACGGTTCTGTAGTGTAGCGTGTCGTACGCTATCTACATCAGTGGCGAGTTTGTAAAGTGTGTCTGAGGTCAAATTTGCCTGCTTAGTAATCTAGTATGCCAAACTATTAATTTGTTTTAATGCCTTTACTGAGGTGACTTGTGGCAAAAACAAGGAGGCAGATATAATAGCTGCTTGACTCCACAAAGTTAGTGTATCACTACATTTGGAACTAAGTGTCAGTGATAGTTTAATTAGGACATGACTGTAAATATGTGAGTGATTTAATAAAAGCTTCTCCGTGGATGTAAGCAAACCTAATCTACCAAAGGTGCGGGGTCCCCCTATGGGCATTGCTGGAATAACTGGCCATGCCCGATTGCCACAGATCAAAAAGTATCCCTTTGGCAGCCGGCGAGCAACTGCCACACTATATGAGGGCTGAGCACGTCTATACAAACACCAGGCAGATGCATTTTGATAAATGGGCATATCTGGAGATACATCTTGTAAAGCAGTCCCTGCACCATGAAAGAAATCATATCCCTTAGTGTAATTAAAGTAAAAGCAAGCAGTAGCAGTTAGAGTACCCATAATATCTAGTTCTTGTGGTGCGATGCCTACTGGTAGTTTCGTTAGCCAAGCGGATAGATCTGTAATGCAGTTCAGTGCTGAAGCATTGCAAGCCTTTCTAGCCCAATATTGTGGTCACGTAACATTGAAAACAAGTTTCACAGAATCAGAGTTATTTACAGGTGCCCCAACAAGGCATGTGTGGAAAGGCAGTTCAGGTTGTTTGAAGGAGGCACAGAAGGTGGTTTGGTTTAGAGCATTCATCAGGGTCACCCAGACGTTGTGGTTGTTCCATGGGTTGAGTCGTTCAAGCTGTTTTCTATAGGAGTCATCACTGCTGGTTCCTTTGAGACAGAATAGGATGCACACACCGAGCAGGAACCCACTGCGGTCCAGCATCTGTAGAAACACAAGCGTACCCCTTTCCCCAGGTTATTAGTTGATGTGGGCCTGACCATTGTTCAGACACCAAGTCTCGCACTTGGACAGGAGCAGGAGTGGTTACAGGTTGAGATGATATCAGAGAGGAAAAGTGTAAAAACAAAGCAGGAAAGTGGGAATCCTGAGGAAAAGTCAAGAAATTCAAAACATAGATAGCCTTGTCTAGACGGGCCTGGGCAGAAGCACCCTGCATTCCTCCTTTCTGTTTTTGAAGCAGGCGCTTCAGAGAGCTATGCATGCGTTCCACGATAGCTTGTCCGGTAGCAGAGTGAGGGATGCCAGTGACATGGGACACCCCCCAATCATTCAGAAAGGTTTGAAATCTCTGAGAGCTATAAGCTGGGGCATTATCGGTTTTCACTTGTGATGAAACGCCGAGGGTAGCAAAGGCTCGTTGGAAGTGATGGATCACATCTAAGGCACGTTCACTTGCATGAGTAGTAGCATAGGCAGCATAGGAAAAGGTGTCAATAGAAACATGTACATATTTAAGTCTGCTAAATTCTGGAACATGGGTAACATCCGTTTGTCACATTTGCAAAGCCTGTAATCCCCTAGGATTGATTTCATAAAACACAGGGACATTCTGACCCTGACAATCTGGGCAGGCAGCCACAATAGATCGAGCGAGGGATTGTGGAATCCCAAACTGGTGTTTGAGGGCAGTGCTGCCTTGATGAAAAAAGCAATGTGAAAGGAGAGCTTGTTGTCGTTTATCTGGGACAGGACCAATCTGTGCAGGGGCTACAAGATTGTCTGCCCGAGTATTACCCTCAGTAAAAAAGCCAGGCAATGAGGTGTGACTACGAATATGAAAAACAAAATAAGGGTTTGTTCGAGACTGAATAGTACGCCACAGGGTGAGCAAAACCTGAAAAAGAAGTCGATCATCACAAGCAGAAAGAACTACTTGATCTAATCGCTGAACCAGTCTTGCTCCATAAGCAGAATCTGTAACAAGATTAAAAGGCTGAGGGAAAAGTTGAAATGCTAAAGTTGCAGCACATAGCTCTACGACCTGTGGAGACCCAGACTGTTTAACCAGCTCATGTTGCCATCCTGTAGGTGTATACCAAATCACAGCAGCCTTCCCTGTCTTACCCGAGCTATCACTAAACACTGTAAGCCCCTCCACAGGTTCTGTGGATGATAACAATTTCTGCTCAACAGGTATTTCATTAAAAAATTTCAGCAAAGGGTGTGAAGGCAAATGATAAGCAATTTGCCCCTGAAAATCTGCCATAGCAGCCTGTAGCTCATATTTATGAGCTAAACACCACTCAAAATAGCAGGATTGTACAGGTAAAACAATTCTACCAGGATCCCTATCAGTTAGTTCAATGCACCGTTTCCGTGCTTTCATGATGATTTCGGAGAGCAATTCAAACAATCCAGGAGCTGTTTTATGAGATCTGGAAGGTAAAAACAACCATTCAAGGATGTGTAGAGGATCTTCCCAAGTCTCATTCCATTGAACAAGGATCCCACAGGGGGAAACTTGATCTATGAGGGCAAAAAGCTGAATGATTTGTGACAGATCAATACGATAAGCGAAGCGTTCTGTTAACAATGCTTCTACTTGATGGATGGTTTGAATTGCTTCTCGAGTGAAAGATCATTGCTCCAGTGGATCAGTAGAATTTTTGAGCAGTGCAAAAAGAGGTTGCAGTTGTGAGTTAGTTAACCCCAAATAAGGGCGTACCCAATTCAATGAACCAACTAATTTTTGGACATTAGTTAGGGTACGAATAGATATGTCTAATTGAATAGGCTGAGGTGTCACTGTGTGAGCAGTAACTAGGAAACCCAGATATTTCCAGGGTTCTGCGTGCTGTACCTTTTCCGGAGCAATGATAAGGTTGAATGACTCTAAGGACTGTTTTGCTGCATCAGCCACTGCTGTCAATTCATCTTTGTGCACTGCTGAAAAGAGAATATCATCCATAAAATGATAGCAGAAGCAACTAGGGAACTGGCTTCTAACAGGAGATAAAGTCTGCGTTACAAACTACTCATAAATGGTGGGAGAATTTTTCATCCTCTGAGGTAAAACCTTCCATTGGTATCATTTGGAGGGCTCTGCATGATTTACAGAAGGTACTGTAAAGGCAAATTTTTTTTGTCTTTGTCAGCTAAAGGAATGGTGAAAAAGCAATCCTTTAGATCAATTATTATGATAGGTCAATCGAAAGGTATCATTGTAGGCAATGGAAGTCCAGGTTGCAGAGCTCCCATCGTTGCTATGACAGCATTAACCTGTCGCAAATCATGCAAAAGTCTTCACTTCTCAGATTTCTTTTTGATTACAAACGCAGGAGTGTTCCAGGGGCTATGTGATTGTTCTATATGACCAGTAGTCAGCTGTTCTTGCACAAGTTCTTGCAGGGCTTGTAACTTCTCGGAGGGTAGGGGCCACTGTCCAATCCACACTGGGATATCTGTTAACCATGTTAATGCCAGTGTGGGCTGTTTGATGCCCTGCATCGCAGCAGCCCCCGTCAAAGATCCATCGTGATTTTAACTTCCCACTGAGCCAGGCAGTCTCTTCCCCATAGAGTTAGGGGAGCAGGGGTGACATATGGTCTCACGGTTGCAACTTGCCCTTCAGGATTGTAGA